AGAGCAAAAGCAGGCATTGCGGGCCATATGAGGGGGGAGGAATGCCTGTGAATAATAACATTATCTTAGCATAGCACAGCCAAGGTCAAAGCAACAGCAGTCTGTAATAACAGAGAATAGACGGGAGGAAGATTCACACCTCTGTTTAATTGGAGCATATGATTGATGACTGTGAAAGGAGGGAGGGAGTTGTGCTTGTCGCGAGAGCTAGGGTGGGGGGGGGGGGTGTTTCAGTTTTTGGCTTTCCTTTGTTTGTGCCGGATTATGTAACCCATTAAAGGATTCTTTAAGGTAATTAAGCCTCAAAGTTCTTTGAAAAGTTATTTCTTTCGGAACCATGTCAGTAGAAATAGTTCACAAAAATAATTGATTTTGGGGGGGATTGAGTCTTTGGCCATATACTCACCAGAGAGCCCCCAAAATATATAGGAAAGCCTCAATTTAATAGCCCAATTAAGAGAGTGGGTGTTGCTTACTCCCAATTGTGTTGAACGCACAGTGTGTTACCCGTGGTCATTTTATGTCACTGTTAGTGATTTTATGTCAAGGCAACACAAGTTTCATCTGTTGCCTTGGATGCCTGTTGCATCGTGACCTGCTAAATTGTGGTTTTGCTGCTTTTCCAATCATTCTTTGCTGATTTTTTTTTTTTTTGACAATGGGATACCCTCTGGATGCTCTGTGCCACCATATGAATATGGTATGAACAGTCAGGTAGCAGGAGTAGGAACCGCCAAGAAATAAACAGGACTACAAAGCCAACAGAATTGAGCCCCAGCAGCAAAATAAACATACTGTCTACAGTACAATTATGACATTAAAAATTATGAATTCTTTTTTTTTTTTGGATGCTAGCTCTAATAGATGCTATAAGCCACTCCCTGTGACTTTCCATGCAACCTGTGTTTTTTTAAAAAAAATAAAATAAAATACATAAGCCTAAGACTGAAAATCAGGCTTGTCAGATGCTATATTTTTTTCTATCCTGCTCTATGGAGTAGAGAGCTGGTCTCTGACAGAAGGCCACCTGAAGAGACTAGAAGCATCTGAAATGTGGATTTACAGGCGGCTGTTACGTATAAGCTGGGTTGACAAGATCAGAAATGAGGAGGTGATAAGCCGCCTGGGAAAGCCAAGGGAAATCATCAAAACAATTAAAAAATGAAAATTAGAATATTTCGGACATGTGATGCGACACCCAGAAAAATACGGCATATTCTATTTAATCCTCCAGGGAAAGATGGAAGGCAAACGAGGTCCAGGCAGAAGAAGAACATCGTGGCTTCAAAATCTAAGGATTGGTTTGGACAAAACTCAGCAGCCCTTTTTTGTGCGGCTGCTGATAAAAACGGGATCGCCAACATCCGATAACGGATATGGCACAAGAAGAAGAAGAAAATAAATGGAAGTTTTTAAGAGGAGATTGGACAGCCATTTGTCTGGAATGGTTTAGGGTCTCCTGCTTGAGTAGGGGGTTGGACTAGAGGTCCCTACCAACTCTGTCATTCTGTAATTCTGTACCCTAAGTGGCCACACTTAAAAAGGCGCAGAGATGGAAAAACTTACTGTCTTTTGGGTGCGTGGCCGAGAGGATAACGCTGTGTTTCTTCCTCACTTCTTCTACAACATCTGAGATTTTGGAGATGTACTTCCTAACTTCCTCGACCTTGGGAGGAGCAGGAAAAGGCATCAACAGGAAGCAGGTTTAAATCACTGACTCTTTTTTAAAAAAAACAAGTTTTAGTAATTTTTCAAATTTTTACATCCAGATACTTAGGAAGCAGCGTGGTGATAGGGTAATCAGTCAATAACAAAATCATTCATATATATTTCATCAATAATGTTCCCTCACTATTTCCCACAAATATTATATCATATTCATGTTAATACATTTCTAACTAAAGCTCAATCAATCAGTACATTTATCAATAATATTTTAATTATACATATCCAAGTCCTGTTTTGGGGTTTTATTTTAATTCCAATTTATATATTCCAATTTAGCCTTTTATAACCAATGTTTAAGCTTCGGATAACCTTAATTTCCCCTCATTTCATTATAAGATAATTCACATAACTAAAATACACATTGTATTCCAAAATTCCTTCTTTATAGACAAATATATTCTGATTCTCATTCTAATAACTCCTCATTTAATAGCAAAATATCTTTCATTATCACAAATCACTGACTCTTAGCGCTCTAGAGAGTAGGTGTGATCCAAGCAGACTCAATCCATCAATCAATAATAAACACAGATAGTCTCTCGACTTGCAACAGTTCATTTTGTGACCGTTCAAAGTTACAACGGCACTGGAAAAAGTGACTTAGGACCATTTTTCACACTTACGACCATCCCAGCATCCCCATGGGCCAAAATTGATCAAAATTCAGATGCCTGGCAATTGGCTCCTATTTATGATGGTTTGTAGCATCCTGGGGTCACGTGATCCCCTTTCGCTAAGCAAAGTCGCCGGGGAAGCCCGATTCACTTCACATCCACAGGACTAACTTAACAACTGCAGTGATTCACTTCACAACTGCTGAAAGGAAGGGGCAAAGCTCATTTGACAAATGTCTCGTTTAGCAACAGAAATTTTGGGGGTTCGAGGACTACCCGTAATGAACAAGATCCTGCATTAAGGTGGAGAAAAGTTTGATGGCAACCCAGACGTGTCACAGACCGGAGCCGTTTCTTTGAGTAGATAAACACTGGGGACCGTCCCTAAAGCATGGGAAGTGGTGTGTGACCCTTGTTTGGCACCCACAAAGGGATTACAAAACTCAGGGGAATCCTGCCGAACACAACCGAGTTTAATTTCTGCTGCTTGAGAGTCTGTAGTTCTCTGGGCAAATCCACTATTTTTCCTGTTTTCTTGAGAAAAGTTACATGCTCTGAAACAACTAAATATTTTGGAGGCCAACTAGACCTGGGGTCCCCAACTCCCGGTCTGTGGACCGGTACCGGGCCGCGGCATGCCAGCAACCGGGCCGCACAAACAAACAAAGCCCCATCCGTGGGATGCAGGCAGCATACAAAAGCACGCACCCTCCGGTCCACAGAAAAACCTCTCTCCACGGAGCTGGCCCCTGGTGCCCAAAAGGAGTAGACATTAAATTGCAGGTAGTCCTGCAACTTCCATTTAGTAACCGTTCAGAGATACAACGGCCCTGGAAAAAGGACTGTTTTTTTCACACTTACAACCATTGCTGCATCCCCACAGTCACATGATCAAAATTCAGACGCTTGGCCACTGACTCATATTTATGACGGTTGCAGTGTCACGTGATCCCCTTTTGTGAGCTTTTGACGAGCGAAGTCCATGGGGAAGCCAGATTGACTTGGCAACTGTGTCACTAACTTAACATCACTTTACAACAGGCAGGGGAAGAAAGGTTGTAAAATGGGGGTAAAACCCACTTAACAACTGTCTTGCTTAGCAACAAAAATCGGGGGCTCAGTTGTGGTCATAGGTTGAGGACTACCTGCATTGAGGAAGTTGCTTCCAGCATAGATTTTTACCTGTAGGAAAAAGTCTTCCATATAATGGTCACTTTCAACGACAACTGTTGCTTCTCCATCTTCATTTTGAGTGCGCTAAAAAAAACCAGAAATATTTCACTGTGTGAGTAAGCCTTTTCAAAAGTTACAAGTACAGATTAGATGTGAAACCTGGCTCAAAAACAGCAACTGTGAGAGGGACCTCGGAGTCTGAGTGAACAATCACTTGACTATGAGCCCACAGCGTGCAGCAGCCGCCAAAAAAGCTAATACAATCCTGGGTTGTATAAACAGAGACATAGAATCAAGATCACGCAAAGTATTAATAACACTTTATAAAACCCTAGTGAGACCACACCTGGAATACTGCAGCCAATTTTGGTCACCATACTACAAAAAAGATGTTGAGACCTTGGAAAAAGTTCAGAGAAGAGCAACTAAAATGATCAAACGCCTGGAGACTAAAACATGTGAAGAACAGTTACAGAAATTGGGTATAGCCAGTCTAGAGAAAAGAAGGTCTAGGGGTAACATGATAACAGTGTTCCAGTGTTTGAGGGGCTGCCACAAAGAAGAGGGGGGTCAACTTAATTCCCAAACACCTTAAGGCAGGACAAGAAACAATGGATGGAAACTGATCAAGGAGAGAAGCAACCTGGAATTAAGGAGAAGCTTCTTAATAGTGAGGACAATTAACCAGTGGAACAGCTTGCCTTCAGAAGCTGTAGATGCCTAATCACTGGAAGTGTTTAAGAAGAGATTGGACAACCATTTGTCTGAAATGATAGGGTCTCCTGCTTGAGCAGGGGGTTGGACTAGAAGATCTCCAAGGTCCCTTCCAGCTCTATTCTGATGAATGATTCATGGTTATGGCTTGTAACACAAAGTAGCCTAGTAAAGAACAGAAGCTCAGCTCAACCCAACCTTTTTTTCCTTTGCACTGATCGCTCGTTTCCCCAATAAAATTACCGTATAATTGATGCCTTTTCCTGCCGTTCAAAGATTGGTGACAAAAATGTCATTCATGAGTTTGCTGCCTTTTGCGCCTTCTCATTCTTATGACTCATTCATAAGACAAAGGAGAAGCTTTTCAAGCCAGGAACAGACACACAACGGAAATATTTGTGCACCAAAAACTTTCCTATGTGATCCTTGGAGAATAAATTATGCTTTTCCCCCCCACCAATTATTGAAACCTTTCCTAGCTATTTAGCTAAAAGTTCAATCTGACGCATGCATGCCTTCTGGGAGATCAAACTCGCTAAAAGCAGCGGGATGCTTTCACAATTACACACCTTTGGGCTGCGTTCAACCCGTTCAGAAATTTCACCCTGAGCTGGTCGCGTTTGCTTTAGAAGAACATCAATTATAAGAAAAAGCTGCTCTAAACCCCAACAAGTCGTCCCATCTTTCTCTATGATCCAAGAAAGTGAATCTGAGATTATCTGTGGAGATAGAGGACCTCCAAGGTCCCTTCCAGCAATATTGTAATTCTAATTCTAATTCTATTCTTACTCCATATTCCGTTCTGTTCTATTCTTATTCGACATTCTATTCTATTCTATTCTTACTCTACATTCTATTCTAATTCTACATTCTGTTCTATTCTATCTTACTCTACATTCTGTTCTATTCTTATTCTACATTCTGTTCTGTTCTATTCTTACTCTACGTTCTGTTCTATTCTAATTCTACATTTTGTTCTATTCTATCTTACTCTACATTCTGTTCTATTCTATCTTACTCTACATTCTCTATTTTATTCTATTCTTACTCTACATTCTATTCTATTCTATTCTTACTCTACATTCTATTCTATTCTATTCTCTACTATTCTATTCTATTCTTACTCTACATTCTGTTCTATTCTATCTTACTCTACATTCTATTCTATTCTCTACTATTCTATTCTATTCTAATTCTACATTCTATTCTATTCTCTACTATTCTATTCTATTTTTACTCTACATTCTATTCTATTCTATTATTATTCTACATTCTATTCTATTCTATTCTATTCTATTCCTTACTCTACATTCTATTCTATTCTAATTCTACATTCTGTTCTAGTCTATCTTACTCTACATTCTGTTCTATTTTATTCTATTCTTACTCTACATTTTATTCTATTCTATTCTACAATCTGTCTATTCTATTCTATTCTATTCTATTCTATTCTATTCTATTCTATATTATATTCTATTTTCTATTCTATTCTGGTCATTGTTATCCCGAAGGTGCTATGTCAAAAGGCAGATGGACTTCATTTTCCCTTGAACACATTTTGTTTCTCTTCCAAGAAGCTTCTTCAGTTCTTACTGAAGTCTTCAAGGAAAAACGCAGACGGTTTTCTTATTTTTCTTAGATATGTTCTTTTAAAGCAAAGGTGACCAGCTGGCCGTGTGTGTAACTGTGTAACTGTGGAATCAACTATAATAACCAGTTTTTCTTGTGTTTGAAGCTACTGAGGGTAAGCAAAAGGCTCTTCGGCCCTTTCCTTTTAAAGCTTCTTTGTTGCCGCAGGAAGAGATAAGAATGAGAGGAAGGAAAAACATATCACAAGTGCACAGACACACTCAAATATCCAATTGTGACGATACCAAAAAAAAAAAAAGTCAGAGGAATACTGATGGCATTGTTCTTGCAAATTACCTTGGACAGCACAAAATGAAAGCCATGTAAACATTCCGACAAAACAGTTCTACTGCAAGCCTCTTGTTACGCAAAAAAAAAAAGTTAAAATAATAATTTTAACATTATGATTTCTGGCTATCTTTCTTGATAGCCCCACATTTCTGCAGAGGAGAATTTTTGTACTTATATAAAAGTTAAAAAGTCGAGGTTTCATGTCATTTATCTTATTTTACTACACCGAAAGGAGTTGCGAGTGAGTGCTGTTTTTTTCTTTTTTTCCACTCTACCCTACACTTTTCTCTCTTTTCTTTCTTTTCCTTCCCTATTTTACCTTTATTTTTATTTTTCTTTATATTTTTGGATAAAGAGCCGTGGTGGTGCAGTGGTCAGAATGCGGTATGGCAGGCTAATTCTGCCAACTCCCAGCAGTTTGATTGCCACCGGCTCAAGGTCGACTCAGCCTTCCATCCTTCCGAAGTCGGTAAAATGAGTACCCAGATTGTTGGGGGCAACAGGCTGACTCTGTAAACCGCTTAGAGAGGGCTGTATAGCACTGTGAAGCGGTATATAAGTGTAAGTGCTATTGGTAAGTGGGAAGGGAAGGGATGTAGTGGTGCAGTGGTTAGAGTGCAGTGTCGCAGGCTAACTCTGCCGACTGCCAGCAGTTTGATCCTCACCGGCTCAAGGTCGACTCAGCCTTCCATTGAGGTCGGTAAAATGAGGAGCCAGGTTGTTGGGGGCAAAATGCTGACTCTGTAAACCGCTTAGAGAGGGCTTTAAAGCACTGTGAAGTGACATATAAGCCTAAGTGCTAGTGATCCTTCCTTTCCTTCCCTTCCCTTCCCTTCCTACACAATGGCTAGAATGCGGCATTGTAGGCTAACTCACTGCCCTCAGCCAGCAGTTCGATTCCGACGGACAGGCTCAAGGTTGACTCAGCCTTCCATCCTTCCGAGATCAGTAAAATGTGGACCCAGATGGTTGGGGGCAATAAGCTGACTCTGTAAACCGCTTAGAGAGGGCTGTAAAGCACCGTGAAGCGGTATATAAGTCTAAGGGCTATTGCTAGTGCTATTTTACGTCTTGATAAAATTTGGTTATGAGAATCTTTTTCTTGTCCTTGTTTTTTTTAATTGAGAAACATTTCCTCATTGCAAATGTTGGGGGTCATCTTTCACTCATTACTGCTTTGGAAAAGAAAAAAAATATTATTTATATTTATATGCCCACCCAGCTCAGGGCGCTTTGAAATGCACTATTGCTCAAACGCTCCGGAAATGCAGAGCTGAGCTTCCTTTCCTTTCTAGGAAAACAAACTAAGATGACAAACTGGGATCCGGTTAAAACGTTTCCCAGCCAGAAATTTATCTCAAAAAGGCACCCACTGGCAGACCAAATCCTTCAAGCAATTAGGTGGATTGCTATGGCGGCAACCTCTGAATTAATCACACGCTGCTGTTAATATCAGGGATATCAATAATAATAATAATAATAATAATAATAATAATAATAATAATAATAATAATAAAAAAAGTTGGAAGGGACCTCGGAGGTCATCTAGTCCAACCCCCTGCTCAGGCAGGAAACCCTATACCATTTCGGACAAATGGCTGTCCAGTCTCTTCTTAAAAACCTCCAGTGTTGGAGCATTCACCGCTTCTGGAGGCAGGTTGTTCCACTGGTTAATTGTTCTGTCAGGAAGTTTCTCCTTAGTTCTAGGTTGCTTCTCTCCTTGGTTAGTTTCCATCTGCTGCTTCTTGTCCTGCCTTCAGGCGCTTTGGAGAATAGCTTGACTCCCTCTTCTTTGGGGCAGCCCCTGAGATATTGGAACCCCGCTCTCATGTCCCCCTCGTCCTTCTCTTGAGGATGGCACTGCCTCAAAAATTGCCACACTGCTCCTAAGAAACACGGGGAATGCCTGAAAATCCTCAAAAAGCCCACTACACAGAAACGTGGCTGTATCACGCATAGATGCAGGCATTCAGATGTATGCACAAATGTACAACACAGATAGTCCTCGACTTACAATTCATTTAGTGACCGTTCAAAGTCACATTGGCACTGAATGGACATGACCATTTTTCACACTTATGACCCTTGCAGCATCCCCATGGTCACGTAATCAAAATTCGGACGGTTGGCAACTGATTCATATTTATGACGGTCGCAGTGTCCCGGGGTCATGTGATTTCCCCCTTTTGCGACCTTCTGACAAGCATAGTCAATGGGGAAGCCGGATTCACTTAAGGAGCCGTGTTACTCAATTAACAACTGCAGTGACTCACTTAACAACTGTGGCAAGAAAGGTCGTAAAATGGGGCAAAATTGACTTAACGGTGTCTTGCTTAGCAACAGAAATGTTGGGCTCCATTGTGGTCATAGGTTGAGGACTACCTGTATATACCTGCCTCTGTGTGGAAGCTGCAGTTTCAAATAAATATTCTTTCAAAGGCACAAGCTCTCCTTCTCCAAGCAGGTAAGAAGATTGAAATTGCAATTCAAATATTAATTAGTAATATGGACATATTAAATGCAGGGACAGATCAATATCTGCACGCCACTGATGCAAGATGCTTTCTTTAAAACAACACACACGCATTGGTGCCCAAACTCTATCACATCTGAGGTTTTAAAGCTGCTAATTCCCATCAGTCTAACCCAGTTTTTTTTTGTTCGGAGTTGTTTGTTCACCCTGATTCTTTGTATCTTCCCCCGCCAGTAGCAAAACAGAATGCAATGTTTTCAAAACACCCGGTTCACTTGACACAAACTTTTTGCTGAAAGGATTGCCTGCAACCATAACACAAATACTTGCATTTTATCAAGCAACTTTGCTTTGCCCCGTTTGAAAATAAAGCAAACAAAGGCTCTTCCATTACCAGCAGAAAACGAATGCTTAAAAAAAAATAGTCAAACACTTCATGTCAAAAATTTAACCTCTTTTTAGGGAGAAGGGTTAACAAGAAGGGAAGATGATTGCCGAACTTAACCAGCATCCCTAATCTATGCCCCTAGAAAAAGCACCTCTAGCAAAATTCCTCAGCCTGGGAATGTTCGCTTTGCCCAGCTGTTTTGTTTTGTTTTTAACCGGAGGCTGCTCTGAGCTGGCTGCCCTACGGGTGAGGAACGCCTTTGGGAGATAAATGCAAAAATGCACAAAGCTTCACTGGAAGAAAAACACACCTGGGCTAGATAATGTAAAGCCACCCAGGGATGGGGATGGTCGGCATATAAATGTAACGTATAAATAAAAGAAAAGGCCATGGGAGCGTAGAAAGCGGCTTTTTTTCCAAAGGCGGGCGACTACCGTCCCCATCGTCCTGCCTTCTCCATCCTCTGGGAGCCGTCGCCCATCTCCTTTGCAGCGGGCGCCAGGTTGCAGCAGCGAGCGCCGTTCCTGGACCGGGGATGCTGCCGCGCATCCTTTAATTGGCCTCTCCCCCTCCCCTCCGGGGGGTGGCTGTTCTTGCCCAGGGGTCACCCTCCCTCCGCCTCCGCCTCCTCAGCCTCTCACCGATGCCAGCTCAGCCAGACGGTCTCTCATCCTGGCGGGGCTCCTCCAGCCGGTTCTCCCCGGGCGTTTCTGCCGCTCTTTGCCCACCGCAGGCGGCTCTGGGTTCCGGGAGGTTCCAGCGGCGGCTCAACACGGCCGCCGCCTCCTCACTCGCCGATGCCAGGGCAACCACTGCCCCGGCCGCCGCCCACTGCGCAGGCGCAGGCGTCGCCTCCCCGTTATAAAGCCGAAGAACCCAGCGGCCTGAGGACCGAGGGAGGGGTGTGGTCGCTTACAAAGGAAGGGCGGAGCTATGCAAATGTAGAGTTTGGTCCAAGGGAAAGAGGGAGCTCGTATTAAGATTCTTGGGGGAATATCACTGAGGGACCAAGAGAAGGGGTGTGGCCGCTTGCAAAGGAAGGGCGGAGCTATGCAAATGTAGAGTTTGGTCCAAGGGAAGAGGGAGCTCGTATTAAGATTCTTGGGGGAATATCACTGAGGGACCAAACGAGGGGGTGTGGCCGCTTGCAAAGGAAGGGCGGAGCTATGCAAATATAGAGTTTGGTCCAAGGGAAAGAGGGAGCTCGTATTAAGATTCTTGGGGGAATATCACTGAGGGACCAAGAGAAGGGGTGTGGCCGCTTGCAAAGGAAGGGCGGAGCTATGCAAATGTAGAGTCTGGTCCAAGCGAAAAGGGAGGGGCGAGGGAGCTCGTATTAAGATTTTTGGTGGAATATCACTGAGGGACCAAGCGAGGGGGTGTGGCGTTATAGAAAGAAAGGGCGGGGCTATGCAAATATATCTAGTCCAGGCCAAGAGGGAGTGGCTGGGGACCACATTAAAATCCTTATTAGAATATTAGAGATGCTTTTTTTAAAAAAAATGGAACATTTCAAATTTAAAAACATTTAATGCCCATTGTATTGGGTTTTTTTTTAAGCTTTTCTATTTAATTCTTCTAATTTTAATCATATTGCAGGACTTTTATTTTTTTTATCAGGTTGTAAGACATCCCGAGTGGCTGTATCAATGAGATTAATTGATACAGACTGGCTGTATCAATTAATAAATAAAAATACTCATGTTATGACCTAGGTGTGTGATTTTTCTTTTGAGCACCCGCCCCCACCATTTGCATTTTTTAAACTTCCTCTTTAATTCAACGTATATTGGGGTTGGTTTATTCATTTAGCAAATGGTTCCTGCTGCTGTCAGTCAAAGTACCTTTCAATCAGTGTTTCTCTTCTCATTTCTAGTAAAGAAATAAAGAGACGCAGTGAGGAAAAAAGTAATAAAAATACATCTGAAAGTTGCTCTTTTTGGAACTGCATTCTTTTTGCAGAAAGAACAAAAAAGAATCAAGTACAGGTCGTCCCCGACTTACGAACACAACGGAGGCCAAAATTTCCATTGCTAAGTGAGACGTTTACTGAGTTTTGCCCCATTTTACGACCTTGCTTGCCACAGTTGTTAAGTGAATCATTGCAGTTGTTAAATTAGTAACATGGTTGTTAAGTGAATCTGGCTTTCCCCATTGACTTTTGCTTGTCATTTAGTGACTTTGGTTGTAAGTCGAGGACTCCCTCTAACAGGACTGATGCCTTGCCAGAGCAGAAAATATTTCAGAGGCTTTCAGAGGTGATGGAATTAAAGGCAATGTGGATTTCCTTTCTGGCCTTTAGAGGCAAACCGAGACATTCCCAGAAACAAACATTTAAACTGATGGGATGATCAGATTAGCTTTGTCTTCGGCCAACCACTCGGGATCCATTCACCATGGCAATCACCCCACGAATGGGAAAAAGCACCCCCCAGTGCTAGGCTGCATTAACAGAGGAAAAGAATCAAGATCACGTGAAGTGTTAATACCACTTTACAAGGCCTTGGTAAGGCCACACTTGGAATACTGCATCCAGTTTTGGTCACCACGATGTAAAAAAGATGTTGAGGCTCTAGAAAGAGTACAGAGAAGAGCAACAAAGATGATCAGGGGACTGGAGGCTAAAACATATAAGGAACGGCTGCTGGAATTGGGCATGTCTAGTTTAATGAAGAGAAGGACGAGGCAGGACATGATAGCAGTGTTCCAGTATCTCAGGGGCTGCCCCAAAGAAGAGGGAGTCAAGCTATTCTCCAAAGCCCCTGAAGGCAGGACAAGAAGTAACGGATGGAAACTAACCAAGGAGAGAAGCAACCTAGAACTAAGGAGAAACTTCCTGACAGTGAGAACAATTAACCCATGGAACAACCTGCCTCCAGAAGCGGTGAATGCTCCAACACTGGAAGTTTTTAAGAAGAAACTGGACAGCCATTTGTCCGAAATGGTATAGGGTTTCCTGGCTGAGCAGGGGGTTGGACTAGATGACCTCCAAGGTCCCTTCCAACTTTATTATTATTATTATTATTATTATTATTATTATTATTATTATTATTATTATTACTATTATTATTATTATCAGGCATCTGTTCCCCAACTTTTGCAATGCTAAACCACATAGCCCATCTTCCCCACCTTTGGCCAAGCAAGCAAGCATCATTTTTGCCATTAGGCAACCCTTGCTGGTGCCCAGGGGTCTTTTGCATCGCCAGTTGCATTGCTTCTTCTTTTTAATTATTATTATTATTTCTTCCTCCTCCTCCTCCTTTTTTTTTTTTTTTT